GGACGTGCAAAACTGACGCAGCTAAAGTCCCACCGTGACGTCAAACCATCTCGCGTAGCCGTACGGTTGTCGAGCACGTCGCTATGTGCAGGCACCATAGCCATGGTAGAGGTAGTGTACTCATTCCGTGCATCATTGCGGATTCCAGGCCACGAGGCATCTATGCATGATGATATGCCTGGTCGGAGGATAATATATTGAGCTTGGGTCGAGTTTCATTTTAAAGAAGAGCAGTCTCGCAGCGTTTCGGTGTCAGTCCAACAGCGATGTTTCAAGCGAGTGGACTGATGAGCACCTTTGACTTGTGCTACGCTCGCATCCAATTCACGTAACGACATATTTTTCCCACAGAAAAATATACGTCGAAGAAAGACATTGCCCTCGTCGTGATTTATAACCATTAAAGTATGTCTCGATAATGTACAGTCTGCGCTGGTTTTTAATCATGTTGGTACAAGTACTGGTACAGAACCGGGTGCCTCTGTACGCGACGACGTCACTGGTAATCACAGAGCATCCATGTGCGGTTGTGGGCGCGCGTCGGACTTGAACGTGAGTGGGACGCATTTCGTGGTTTTGCGCTCCTCGTTGCCACGGTGGTCGATGTTGAAGGTGCCGACAGGCGCGGGTGATGGATGCGCCATCGACACGTCGGCATCATTGACGGAAGTGGGTCAGGAGCATGCGCTCATCATGTACATGGGTGTCTCGACGCCCGAGAAACCTCGTTGTCAGTCTGGTACCAACTGTGAAGTACGAAGTTAATGAAAGCTGAGCGATGCTACAAGTAGCTATCTGCGACCAGGTCGTTAGTGATTAGTATTGGTATGTGGGAGGCAATTGAGCATCTTGCGATGCGGCGCTGGGCCTGCACGACGAAACGCAATGCGAGCACGGTGAACACGATCTCTGGGTTCACTGAGCGGCTCTGTTTGATTGGCTAAAAACAATGGATTACGATTCTTGATTGGCCAGCTACTGCGTGGAGTGCCACATAGTACCAACACTAATGTCGCTTGCAAGCCACGCAAAAGAACTTTAGATACATGCAACTCTCTGGGCTGTGTGATTGCCGCATCCATTGCGTCCAACACTACCCCGTACGTACGAGACGTCTCGCGACCCGAACAGAGAGCAGAAATTCCGATGCCCGTGGCACCACTGGCGGCACCGGCGTCTGAATAAGCATGTTCAAGGGACCATAGAAATAATCTGTGCTTGAGTCGAGCGTACGAGCCCGTGTCGTTGTTGATGGTACTTGCGCGGGACCGCACTCGGCGTTCTTTATCAGGTTCAGCCGTTATCAGTGATCCACGACGGCCGCATTGTGATCATAGTGCTGTCGCGTCAACCGGACGCGCTTGAAGTTACACGCCATCGGGCAGGATTGAGTTCGGCGGACCTTCACCGAGTGCCGGATTTACAGTTCGTAGGCGTTGGGCCGTGCGAAATCGTAGCAGCGGCGGTCCATTTGTCCCAGCTTGAATAATGCTGACTACGAGTCACGTTGATTGGGGTCTCGGGCGGATCCAAGCATGATCAAGCGTCATCTATGATCATGCTTGGCTTCTTCTGGGTCGACGCTGACTTAGTGTGAGCTCCAGTACCACGGTTTCGTCAACAGAAACGTCCCCAGTAGGTACTTAGTCTCGCTGGCTCCGAGACTAATCGCGGTTATTGCGACAGCCTGGTCGGCCGCCGAAGGCGACTATGGAAGCCCACCGGTGTCCGCTTCAATCCCAGCGTGCCCACAGCGTGGCCTTGTGCAACGACGCACACGTTACTCACGACAGCCGCACCCATGGATTGACGCTGGATGGCCTCTTCGCCAGACAGCGTGAGCTCACGGTACGCACCCAGCGTTCCTCGTGTCGAAAGAACCCGTGTCAAGACAAAAACCCTTATAAAGCTCGTGCCGCTCTCGCCAGACATGCACCAATACACCCCATGATGGACGACTGACATGACGCTGCGCTGCCTCCCATTCTATATCGCGCCGTTTCGTCAACCTCGGCGCAGACCTGAGTCGCGACCCTGGAAGCCAGATGGCGCGACTGCAAGTATCCATTCATCTTCGTCGTGATAATGGACGGTTCCCGCCATGTGTTGCGCGCGCCTTCAACCCGCCAGTG